TGTACAAAAATACTCACTCCTCCTTTCTCCAGTGTTTTCCTACAGTATCTAGCACCTAAATTATAATTTTCTAAGTGAAGATGTTCTAATTCCAGCTGTTTCATGTGATGTTCAGTAAGGCACAGTATGTGTGGAAGATTTGAATTCATGGAGCTTATTAGTTCATTTGTTTTGTTTCTCAATCCTCTTATATTCTGATGGAATATTCTTAGTACTTTATTATTCATTGAATTTAGTAGACTGCAATTAGCTTTTCCGATTTCTATTGGTTCACTTACATTATTGTCTGAAAGATTAGTTTCTTTTGCAATTTCTTTTACTTGATAAACTTTACTTGCACTCTTTATCCTAAAAAATGATTCTGAACACCCATGACAACTGGAATGTGTCTGCCTTTAATGCTCTCTACAATGAGTCGCGTCAGCTTGTCCTTGCCTCGAGGATTAAGATGTGTTGCAAACCAGTGCCAGCACATGCATTGGTTCATCCCCGTGTGGAGGTGGGTTAGAATACATCCACTGTATCCTTGTGAGTTGTAGAAGGTGGCAAAAAGGGAACCCAGTGCCTGGGGTATAACTGGGCTGCCCTGGCACAGGGGGACATAAATACAGGGACTTGGTCCCCTAGGTTGGGGAGTGGATGCAAGTCTGATGACCTTACTGTGTAAAATAATTATTATTGCAAAATTCAAAAAAATTAAAACCAGATCAAATCTGGAAGAATCTTCTAAGGAAGGCTATGGCTCAGAAGTGCTGTTTTGATGATGATGATGGTGATGGTGATGGTGATGATGATGATGATGATGATGATGATGAAGGCAACTACATGTACTAGTACAGCAGGCACAGTGTCACGTTTACAATATAAGTCCAGTTACTGCTAATGAAGGTTCTGTAATATCTAGTTAACAGAAAGTGACGCATAGTCTGTGTTCCTGATGTTGAAATCAAACTTTTCTTGCCATGAGTGTATCCGTTTTGCCACATTAAGTTGCATTCTGTTGTCAGTACTCCTGAATTGGATACTGTGGAGAACCACCTGATCCAGGGATTGCAGCTCCTGCACCTGTACAAACCACCGCCTCCATACCCCATCAGTCGACCAAGCAGCAACAGCACTCCAGATCTTGCATCAAAAACACTGAGTCCTCCACAGCCAACTTTTATTAACCCGCAGGTACTGCTAGGAGTGGTTGCTTGCAAGTGTGAATTTGAAACTAGCATTGTAAAGAGCCTTTATGCACAACATGCCAGGGACCTGGGTACCATGCCACAGGTGGTCAGCTGTGTCTGCCCCTCAAACTTCTGCTGCCTTCAGACAGCCAAAAAATATATATATATATATAGACACATACACAATAATTAAGATGTGATATTTTCATGGCAGTAGGCTATCTTCTATGATGTAGAGCCATGTAGATCTTGTGTGAACCAACATTTTGTAGGAACGTATTGTCTCAGTCTTCAGGGTAGAAAAATCCACGAGCGAGGAATCAGCATGAGCAGGTGGTTGCAGACTGACTCTGCCACCTCCTCACTCTGCTTCCTCGCTTGCTGATTTTTCTACCCTGAAGATGGAGGCGATACGTTCCTCCAAAACGTCGGTTCACACAAGCTCTACACAGTACCACATCCCAGAAGACGACATTTTTCACATACAGAAGAAGTTTGCTGACTTTCTTTTGATGTGACATGGACTGCATAGAAAACAAAAACTTAAGGGGGTGACAGACAGGCAGCAAGGTGATCTCATCAGCCTCGTTAAGTAGGCTAAAAAGTTTAATTCTCGTGATGTTTTCTATTAATGTACTCTTGTAGGATTTGAGGTTCTCATGGCAATGGTCATGAAGAGCTCTCTATTCTGAGATATAACATGTAGTCTGTTGAAAGGCTACTGACACAGTCAGGGTTAACAAATAAGCATGAGGCAGTTAACAAGCAGAGCTGTTTCGTGCTGATTCCTTACATGTATCCAGCAATACAGTTTATTTGTTCTTTTAAGGTCAGTGGATCCAGCCCTGACTTGGTATCATCAAGGAGTCTTGGTCCAGGCAGACACCAGCAATATCACCATCATCATCATCATCATCATCATCATCATCATCATTAACCAGTGAATCATCATCAGCAGCAGCATCATTACATTGATCCGGCAGTGACCTCTCATCAGCTTTTGCCTAATCCAGAAGCACATCATACTTACACCAATCTGGCTGCAGTGTTGGACACTCAGCAACAGCATCCACATCTGGAGGATCTGCGGAGAGCCTTTGTGGCCTCAGAAGAACCTAACATTGTTTACTGCATGGGTGGAAGTGGTGATGTAGGACTGCTCTTGGAGAACAGGTCTAGATCAACCACAATGCCATACCAGACTATGAACACTGTATCCACTGGGTCACAGTATGCTGGCAGGGCACCTGAACCCATTTATGAGAATGTTCCACTTCCGTGGGCAGCTGATGGCCGAGTGACAGGTAACAGTTTCGAATTTCAGGTGACAGATAAAGTGACATAGTGAAGGTTATTGCAGCTGATGTTGAAAACTTAAGTAGTGACTGAGATCTCTGGTACAGTTGTGTTAATGTTGTGGGCATACAGGGTTTGGAAAGGATTGCAGATAAGGCAAATTTCTGGGAAGTGGAAGCAGTGGAGTGACAGGTACTCAATTATTCACAGTTTTCCTACTTGTCACATGGGATGATGAGTTAATATATGAAGATGGCTGTCTTCTGGGATGTGACACCATGTAGCCTGGTAGATCATTACCGACATCTTGGAGGGATGTGTTGCCTCCATTTTCAGGATAGAAGTGTAAGCAAACTGGGGGAAAATATGGACCAGATATAAGGAAGGGATAGTGGGATTGGGGTTGATGGAACTAAGAAATGGCAGTTATACTGAGGGTAGATGTAAGGAGAGAGAGTATCCATGCCTCTAGTTTATTGTCTGAGGCCTTGCCATTCCATCCAGTTTCTGTGGTTATTAGCATGCTATACTTCGAACCCAGACTACTGTTTTGGCTATTCACTGTTTAATTTTATCATTTTCGGTATGCAAACAAAATTCTGTGAATCGTGACATTTCAGGTTCTTGTGGATTGTCTCACCATGTAGTTTGGTATATTGTTATAATTTGGAGGAATGTTCTGTCTCCATCTTCAGGGCAGAAGATACCAGTATTTCAGAGGAAAATGCTGCCTCTGTTTTTAGGGATAACAGGTTCTACTACCCTGAAGATTGAGGTAGCATTTCCTGCAAAACATTGGTAATTATTTACCAGACTACATGGCATCACATTCCAATGTATCGCAACCTTCAAAATGTTGTATAAGTTGTTTAGTGTAAGTGTTCTCTTAAAATTAGATATATTTAATAGGTCTAATGGGTGGTGGAGATGGTCCAGGTGCTCGAAGTCGGACGTCCAGCATGCAGTCGGCACCAGAGACATGTCAAGTACAAAATGCAGAGCATAATATTGGAATGAGTGTCGTCATGCCAGCATTGTGCACTGAGAGCAGTGGGGGACAACAGCACGTTCGCAGTTCAGCAGCTGAACAGTTCTCACCGAGAAGTAGGCATGTTGCCGTGAACCACACACCTCCAGCACCACACAAAATGGCCTCCTCCTCTCTTCAGTTCCCAGGGAAGAGCAAGCTGGGAGCAGCATCAGAAAATTCTTTTGCATCAGGTATAAACGCAAGCCTTTGTCTTTCTCCTCTGTTGTTATCATGTCATTATGTATGTTAGCAAGTAGTTACAAACAGGAGCAGAAGATGGCAACAGTAGAAGGTATGCTTTGGTTGGGTGTTGTTTTGTTTATTCTCCTGTTGTTGCATAAGCTAGCGCGAGACTGAGTCTACTTGTAGGCCCATTATACCAGCCCAAGATGATAGATGAGTATGGAGCATTTGATGGAATGAAAATAGGCAAGTGAAAGTGAAGTTCTTGAGGTGAAACCTGCTCCAATGCTAATGTAATTTTAGTTTTATTTGAGGTTTGAGGTTCTCACAGCTGCGACTGTGGGATGTGACACTGCATGGTGTAGCAGATTGTTACTGGGCATTTCAGAGGAATGTGTTGCTAGCATCTTCTCCATGAAGATGGAAGCTGCTCCTCCAAAATATCAGACTACACTAATCACATCCCAGAAGACATCAATATTCTCAAGTTTATTGTATCATCTAAAATAGATAAAATTGTATTAGATGGCACTGAATGGGTTAGCTTAGCAGTAATGCTCTAGTATCATATTCCAGAGGTTTCAGTTTGAATCTTGACGGAGGTTTTATAGTGGATTTTCTCATTCCCTTGGGGCAAATGTGGCGTAGTACCTCAATTAGGCTACAACTACTTCCTTCTAGATCCTTTTCAGTTCATCATTCATCCTACCATTTAATGCTGTACAGCTTAAGGTACCGACAGTATCGTTAAATGATGCCCACACATAAAAAATTTAGATTACACAACATTATAACCATTAAGTACAGTATGTTATGTACAGGTGCTGAACGTCTCTGTGAGGAAGAGCAGGTGCATAAGAGTGATGCGTCTGCAAGCTGTTCGGGTATGGATTTTGGAAAGCAGAAACCAAAGAGGAAGTGGGGGCTGCTTGGTGGGGGTGGAAGGACTAAATCGAGTTTAAATGCCAAAGGCTCAAAGAGCAATACATTAACGGAGGGAACGGTGGCTGATGAAGATGTTGCCGGAAACAGGTGGAGCTCAGGCCTGCCAAGGTTACCTCTGCCAGCTACCATATCAAAGGAAACTATGGTATGTAGTACAAGGGTTTTTATTATTTTTATGAATTGGCAGTAGGAAATAGGGAAATGGAAATATTACTGCCACCTGTGATGTAATGCAATGCAGCCTGGTAGATAGTTACTAATGTTTCAGAGGAATTTGCTGTCTCCATCTTCATGGTAATGACACTTAGGATGGATGCAACAGGTTTCTCTGAAATTTTAATAATTATCTGCCAGAATACACCATGTCATATATGGAACACATTAATCTTCATAGTCACTGCTATGAGAGGCTCGATTCTCACTGGGAGTAGTTTCTGATGGAAGGATTTGAGACCATAGTGCTGGAGAGAATATCCAGGACCTTAGCAGGGCGAAGGAACATGAAATGAGGAAAACTGCATAATGCAGTGCTTCGCAATTTGTGATTTTTGTCTATTGTCAAGGAGCCAGGATAGTGGTGTTGGTACAGTGGGTGTATATTTCCATGCATTCTTTAACTTTTGCTCTAGACAGAGGTGAACATAGCTTCACACCACATTGACCACTCTCTCCCCAGGGAAGAAGCCCCTTGTATCCATTGAATAGGAGGCTGGGTAGGCCACAGAGCCAGTCTGAGCCAGTTGGTGGAGGAAGGAATGTCCATTTTGTATGATATTCACTGTACTGTCTGAGCTTACTTCATACACATGTAAATCTGTCTTGTGTAATTGACTGTGCCACTTGGTTTTCTTCTAGGCTGTAGTTGCTATTCATGATTGGCTTCTCATTTCTTTTGGTAGTGCCAATTACTGGAAAGGAAGCTAGCAGACAGTCAGCTGTTCTTTGAATTTGAAAGGATTCCAAAGAAAAAAACAAACATTGAATTTGGAACAGCATTGCATCCAGATAACATTGCTTGCAACAGGTGCGTAGACCTATCTAGCCACATTTGGACTTCAGGCACTTGATGAAAAAGAGAAAATTCAACATTTGAATTGAGTATAACTTATTACAAGCTTGTGAACACAGTAATGATCCTTTGGGTTCCGTAAAATGTTGGGAAGTTCTTGAGTGGCTGCACAGCTGGCAGCTTCTCAGGAAGGGCTCGGCTCCATGGAGTTAGTTTAAATTACAAATTAGAGTAAGAACAGAACACTTAGCAGGCATAAGGGCTGTAATGATGAGAAAGGTCATGGCTAACATCTCTCTTAAGTGCTAAAGGGCACAGATATAGCAAGCCAGTGAAAATATAATATCACTACATGGGTGAGGTACACAATGGGAAAGTGCCTTAAAATTGGGCACAGCCACTTCCTCCCGCATCTCATATTTGTCATTCACAGGCACCCTACTGTGTGACAATACACAACCTGTATGGTTGAAATAATGTTGTTAAACAACCCAAGAATTAAGAATCAGTCATTGGGAGTATCTTGTGAAACTGGTACGCACTTGTTTTTCTGTTGGTGCAGCTGATAGCATACCCAGATTTCATCTCATTATTCTCACTGGCTAAACAGCCCTTTTTGAGCCATAGTCCTCTTAGAAGGTTCTGCCAGATTTGTGTGTAGACCATCTGGTTTTCACATCCTTGGATTTCATAATAGTAATTTTTTTACACAGTAAGGTTGTCAGCCATGCTTCCAATCCCCAGCCTGGAGGACCAGGTCCCTGTATTTATGTCCCCCAGTAACAGGGTTTCCCAGTTACACCCCCAAGCACCAGATTCTCTTTATGTTGGCCTTCTACAACTCGCAGGGCTACGGTGGAGGTATTCTAACCCACCTCCACACAAGAAAATAAAGAAAAGTTGTGGAACACCCATCTAGTTTTGTTTAATCCTTTAAAGGGCAAAGCTCATCTGAATAATATACAGAAATTTGGTTCATACTTCACAGATAACAGCCCACTTACCCATTAGGAATTTTGTTTGTCTAGTGACATTCATGAATTTATTCTGAGAACAGTTTTAACATACCAGATCCTTCCTGCCTGTATGTGTTCAGCTTTTTAATGTTAAAAACATGTGGTGTATATGATTACCACTGCCAAGGTAAGGTAAAGTTGTCCCTGTGCTTAACTAATTAATAACTGTGCCATGAAGGCATATGGGGGACTGAATGTATAGGTCCACATTTTCTTGACCTCGGCACTAGCTGGAGTTTGGTCAGCGTCACGACCCCGGCCGCTTTACCCCCAGAGAAAGAGCCTCTTGTACCCATTGTATAGGAGGCTGGGTGGGCCCCAGAGCCGGTCTGGAAGACGTGGAGAAGAGAAAATTCTTGACCCTACTGGGACTTGAGCTCCGATCCCTTGGTCGTCAAGCTCGTAGCCAGTATCTATACCGATTAAGCTATCCAAGCTTACATCATCTCCAAGTAAAGGGGTAATAAATTTTGCCTTACAGGTACAAAGATGTACTGCCATATGAAGAAATCTGCGTGAGGTTGACTCCCAGCAGAGAGAAAAAGTTCGGGTACATAAATGCTTCCCATATCACAGTAAGTCTGTAGTGTAGACATTATTCTTATGCCACATAAGTCAGTGATCCTGTAGGTGCTTGGTTTTGGTTTCAGGTAAATTGCTCCTGGTCTATTCCAGCACAATCATTCTTGATTCTTGGCCCTGTGAGACCCATGACCATACTTCTCTGTCTCACCACCCTGACTTTGGGTGTTCCCTTTGATGAGCTTTCTTTTACCTCAAATTTTTTATTTAAACGTTCTGTAAATTGTTATAAGCACCCCTGCTGCAGTTTCCCAAAACATGGCACTTGTGGCCTCAGATATTAGGGTTTCAGATCTTTCTGAGGACTTGAACGTATCCCTCTCAGACTCGAGGTATCAGGAAGCAGCCTCCTCTTCCTCTTCATTATTGCCTTCCCCCTTCTTAATCTGTGTCTTCAAGTTCCTGCCCTTATTCTTCTTACTCTTCGTCCCCCTCTTGTGAGTACGTATAGCGAACTGTTTTGATGTACTGCAGGCCACCGTTGGCACTCACCAGAGGTTGTACATTGCTGCTCAGGGACCACTGCCTGCTACTGTCAGTAGTTTCTGGCAGATGATCTGGGAAGCAGATGTGTACCTGGTAGTAGTGCTGACCGGAGCACAGGAAGAGGGGTCAACTGTGTACTGTCCTGGGCTGGCAGAGAGGTGTGTAGAGGTTGGAGAGGTGAGTGACTGCTATATACAGTACTATATCTGACTGTGTACTCGGGTTCAAACCCGGTGGAGGTCGTGGAATTTTTAAGAGCGGAAAAATTCAGGGAACAAGTCCTCCGGGAGGGACTTTAAGCCGTGGGTCCCGTGTCGTAGCTTTATAGCACGTAAAAGAACCTCATGTCTCCAAAGGAGGCCACTGAGCTAAATTAAGGACATTTCCCACCAAACAGTAGTCTCTAACTCCTCTGGTAGATGGGGGAAGCATTGAGATTCCTCTGAGCCAGTAGAGGCCAACCTCTCTGGCTAAGTAGGGACTGATGGTAAGCACCAATACCGGTAGGTTATAGAGGCTGGTAGAAGATTGTAGGGGGATGCACAATAGATCAAACTGGTCGCGGTGCATGTGGAAGCCCACCCCCTCCAATAATAATAATATCTGACTGTCATCAGTTGGTGCCCATGCAAGATTTTTCTCTACTCCACAGTGTCCAGACCAGCTCTGGGCCCCATCGAGTCTCCTCTCCATTGGGTACCGAGGATTTTTTTTTCTGGGGGTAAAGTGGCTGGGGTGAGAAACTGACAGCTTGGCTCCTTCAAGTGCTGAAGTCAAGAATGTTATATCTATTCCTCAGCGGCTGCATATATTTTCATTGCATGGTGCATAATTAATTAAGCACTGGGACAGCTTTACCTTCTACCTTTACCACAGCAGCATGAATACTAAGATCACAATCAGGTGCTGTGTGACAGCATGTGGTTTGTTAAGTGGGCACCATAATTTAAGAGGAACATGCTGCCTCTCTCTCCAGATTTACCTTGGACAGTCTGCAAACCTACATGGTATCATGTTCTAGAGGACAACAACCTGCATGGTTGCCACCCTGAGAACCTCAGATTTTGTACAGCAGAACTACATATTAATGGTTCTCCTTCTGTGGATATTGCAGTAAATTCTTTGATTAAGTTTAATTAAATCTGTTTTTCAGTTTCAAGTGTGGCGCCAGTTTTCACAAGAGACTGGCCACTGTTTCACCACCAAGTTGCAACTCTTTCACACATCGTCTCGCCGAGGAAGGGGAGTGTGGCATCTGCAGTATTTAGAGTGGGGTGACCAAGGCTGTCCTCATAATGTTGGGCACTTTTTAGGCTGGTATTACCCTAAATGTCCCCACCAATGGTATCTCCACCTTATTGTGGTGGTGGGGTTTGAGAGCTCCTGAGACCCTGAGAGCTATGCCGGCGGTAGCATGGCTACTGGTAGGGCCACCCATGCCGGACAGGTCAAGGGGTAGGAGCCAGACAGAGAGGGATACCCTGGTCCTCCAGGTTGGGGGTTGGGTGTGAGGCTAACAACCTCACACTGTAGAAACTAAATTGTTCAGAAATCCGAGGAAAGAGTAGCCGGACGGACCTATTCAAGATGACTTTGAAAATGTTTAAAGGATTTGAGAATTGGATCTTGGAATGTACTATCTCTTTACAGAGCCAGAGCTCTAAAAATGCTACTTGAACAACTAGATAGCTATAAACTAGATATCACTGCTATACAAGAACTGAGGTGGTTGGGTAAAGGAGTCAGGGAAAAGAAGGATCATATTGTATTCTATAGCTGTCAGAAGAAGAGTCACATGTTTGGAACAGGTTTTATTGTTAATAAAAAAGGGAAGCATCTTATTTTAGACTTCTGGGCAAAATCTCACAGAACATGTAAGCTACAAATTAAGGGAAAGTTTTTTTAACTATAGCCTTATTTGTGCACATGCCCCAACTGAAGATAAAAGTGATGAGGAGAAAGACTCCTTTTATGATGAATTGGATGAAATATATGGCGAATGTCCAAAAAGGGATTGTAAAATAATCATAGGGGACATGAATGCCAAAATGGGGAATGAGGATGTAAATAGATCGGTTATTGGAAAACATAGCCTACATAACAAGTCAAATGATAATGGGATGAGATTAATAAATTTTGCGTCCTCAAGAAACATGGTAATAGGTAGTTCAATGTTAAATCATAAGGATATACATAAACGAACCTGGAAATCCCCTGATGGAAATGTGTTTAATCAAATTGATCACATGCTAATAGATGTAAGGCATTGTTCAGATTTGATGGATGTCAGGAGCTACAGGGGAGCCAACATTGACTCTGATCATTACTTAATAATAATGTCAAAGATTAGAAGTCGAATATATAATGCAAGGAAGATACATGGATCCCAGGTGAAGTAATTGATTTGTGGAAAATAGGTGGAACAAGCAGTTGCAACCACATATACTGGATTAAGATGGCACGAAAAGTTGACGAAGCTTATAATTTTGTTCTTGTGCACTTAATTGAGCAAAAGTCTGGCATATATGACAAACGCCATCCAGACTATGCCAGGCGGGACAAAGTAGATTTGGCGTGGGAAAAAATTCTCATGAATTTAAGGAATCTGGTATGTGTGTATACGTTATATATATATATATTATAACCAAAACTTATAATGAGACAAAAATACAGAATATGTCTGCGAAAACAATGTAAACAAACACTAAAATATGACCCATGCTTTGTGATAAATACCAGCAGTTGGGTTAATCCCATTTATCAGCTGAATTCAATTATTGTAACTCCACTGAGACGGAATTTCTCCTGCTCTTGTTAAGAAGTAATCAGCCAGTTGATTTCGCAGGTGCTGTCCCGTCAACAATCTTTGCCTTCCATCATCATCATTATCATCATAATTTAAAACATGATGACTTGATTGATTGAGTGCATAATTTTCAGCTCCTTCGCAAAATATCCCTTCCCGGATTATGATCAAATTGTGGAGGACAACAGATGCTTTGATGACCGAATTCACAGTTTCTTCTTTGCAGCACATTGGCCCCTCAAATATCTTGAACTTGGCAGTTAGAGTACCAAAAGCACATTCTGCACTTTTTCTTGCACGAGGTAGTCTGTAATTAAATATACGTCTTTTGTTAGTCACCATTCTTCTAGGGCAAGGTCGCATTAAATTTATTTTCGATGAAAATGCTTCATGTGTTATGAATGTAATGTGGTAACGCTGGTGTGTTAAGTGACGTCACCACATATTGTATTTTATAATATTTAATGGTATTTTCTCACATTAATTGGGCATAAGACATTGTGAGATACTCTTGATACATAGCATAAGACGGCAGAATAAGCCTAATATAAACAGATATATATATGGACAAATACCGTCTTAAGTGCAACAATTTTACTGTAGTTTTTACTTCTTTTTCCTCTTCCACACTACATGTTTCGGCCCTAAATGGCCATCATCAGGTGTGTATCACTCACGCAACTGTTACACTGCTTGTTAAAAATTTAAAAACACCAGTCTTTCCAATGGTNTATTGTGGTGGTGGGGTTTGAGAGCTCCTGAGACCCTGAGAGCTATGCCGGCGGTAGCATGGCTACTGGTAGGGCCACCCATGCCGGACAGGTCAAGGGGTAGGAGCCAGACAGAGAGGGATACCCTGGTCCTCCAGGTTGGGGGTTGGGTGTGAGGCTAACAACCTCACACTGTAGAAACTAAATTGTTCAGAAATCCGAGGAAAGAGTAGCCGGACGGACCTATTCAAGATGACTTTGAAAATGTTTAAAGGATTTGAGAATTGGATCTTGGAATGTACTATCTCTTTACAGAGCCAGAGCTCTAAAAATGCTACTTGAACAACTAGATAGCTATAAACTAGATATCACTGCTATACAAGAATTGAGGTGGTTGGGTAAAGGAGTCAGGGAAAAGAAGGATCATATTGTATTCTATAGCTGTCAGAAGAAGAGTCACATGTTTGGAACAGGTTTTATTGTTAATAAAAAAGGGAAGCATCTTATTTTAGACTTCTGGGCAAAATCTCACAGAACATGTAAGCTACAAATTAAGGGAAAGTTTTTTTAACTATAGCCTTATTTGTGCACATGCCCCAACTGAAGATAAAAGTGATGAGGAGAAAGACTCCTTTTATGATGAANTAGAAACTAAATTGTTCAGAAATCCGAGGAAAGAGTAGCCGGACGGACCTATTCAAGATGACTTTGAAAATGTTTAAAGGATTTGAGAATTGGATCTTGGAATGTACTATCTCTTTACAGAGCCAGAGCTCTAAAAATGCTACTTGAACAACTAGATAGCTATAAACTAGATATCACTGCTATACAAGAACTGAGGTGGTTGGGTAAAGGAGTCAGGGAAAAGAAGGATCATATTGTATTCTATAGCTGTCAGAAGAAGAGTCACATGTTTGGAACAGGTTTTATTGTTAATAAAAAAGGGAAGCATCTTATTTTAGACTTCTGGGCAAAATCTCACAGAACATGTAAGCTACAAATTAAGGGAAAGTTTTTTTAACTATAGCCTTATTTGTGCACATGCCCCAACTGAAGATAAAAGTGATGAGGAGAAAGACTCCTTTTATGATGAATTGGATGAAATATATGGCGAATGTCCAAAAAGGGATTGTAAAATAATCATAGGGGACATGAATGCCAAAATGGGGAATGAGGATGTAAATAGATCGGTTATTGGAAAACATAGCCTACATAACAAGTCAAATGATAATGGGATGAGATTAATAAATTTTGCGTCCTCAAGAAACATGGTAATAGGTAGTTCAATGTTAAATCATAAGGATATACATAAACGAACCTGGAAATCCCCTGATGGAAATGTGTTTAATCAAATTGATCACATGCTAATAGATGTAAGGCATTGTTCAGATTTGATGGATGTCAGGAGCTACAGGGGAGCCAACATTGACTCTGATCATTACTTAATAATAATGTCAAAGATTAGAAGTCGAATATATAATGCAAGGAAGATACATGGATCCCAGGTGAAGTAATTGATTTGTGGAAAATAGGTGGAACAAGCAGTTGCAACCACATATACTGGATTAAGATGGCACGAAAAGTTGACGAAGCTTATAATTTTGTTCTTGTGCACTTAATTGAGCAAAAGTCTGGCATATATGACAAACGCCATCCAGACTATGCCAGGCGGGACAAAGTAGATTTGGCGTGGGAAAAAATTCTCATGAATTTAAGGAATCTGGTATGTGTGTATACGTTATATATATATATATTATAACCAAAACTTATAATGAGACAAAAATACAGAATATGTCTGCGAAAACAATGTAAACAAACACTAAAATATGACCCATGCTTTGTGATAAATACCAGCAGTTGGGTTAATCCCATTTATCAGCTGAATTCAATTATTGTAACTCCACTGAGACGGAATTTCTCCTGCTCTTGTTAAGAAGTAATCAGCCAGTTGATTTCGCAGGTGCTGTCCCGTCAACAATCTTTGCCTTCCATCATCATCATTATCATCATAATTTAAAACATGATGACTTGATTGATTGAGTGCATAATTTTCAGCTCCTTCGCAAAATATCCCTTCCCGGATTATGATCAAATTGTGGAGGACAACAGATGCTTTGATGACCGAATTCACAGTTTCTTCTTTGCAGCACATTGGCCCCTCAAATATCTTGAACTTGGCAGTTAGAGTACCAAAAGCACATTCTGCACTTTTTCTTGCACGAGGTAGTCTGTAATTAAATATACGTCTTTTGTTAGTCACCATTCTTCTAGGGCAAGGTCGCATTAAATTTATTTTCGAGAAAAATTGGAAAGACTGGTGTTTTTAAATTTTTAACAAGCAGTGTAACAGTTGCGTGAGTGATACACACCTGATGATGGCCATTTAGGGCCGAAACATGTAGTGTGGAAGAGGAAAAAGAAGTAAAAACTACAGTAAAATTGTTGCACTTAAGACGGTATTTGTCCATATATATTGTGTGAGTGTAACAGGATGCTGAAATATAATATTATAAACAGATATTTCGCAACTTGAAAATAAAGTCATCTTAGCTGCACACGGCACTGAGAGTGACGTTATGGTTCCGGGAATTAGCTGGAAAATCCAGGCACAACACTCTCCTTATAAGGAAATAGACGCTATGAAGTCACATGATTTTGCCACACCCAAAGACAATACTATATATTGTAACCATTCGGGGATGTAAAAGCCATTAAGATAGTGCAGCATGCACTGTACGCTTGAGAGCGTACTGCTCTCGTAAAGTCGGGGGTTTGATTCCTGTTTGTACTTATTTCATGTCTTGATCAAGTAAAGTGTTTGGTTTCACCTCACAAGCTCGTGTCGTCTACCTTATTTCACACATCCGAGTCTTCAAGGAGATCTCACTTATCTACACGCCCAACGCTTCGGTTCACAACACGCTATACGACTTTGGCAGGTAGAGTTCAACATCACAGCTGGCCAGCGCATCTCACCTGTTGGAGTAGTGCAATAACATCTTACCTGTGGTGATTCAGGTCAAATCACCTGGTGGCAGCTATTCACGTTACCTTCTACGTTCCCAGACGTAGTGACACACTCCTAACATCCTGAGTTCGTGTGTGAATCACCATCCTCACGCGAACGTAAACAAACTACATTACATGAAGTAGTAGGGAAACTTTTCGCCGCTCTCTTCCAATGGTAGAGAAGTTGGAAATGGGATGTGCAGTTCTTCAATCTCCAGCATCTCTCCGAGTTTAGAGGCCCTAAATACAGACTCATCACTGTTCTTGCCGAAATCTCCGATATGGACAGTAGTAAATAGGGCATCGGCGTCTGCACATGCCAGTAGTATTATTGAAAAATAGCCCTTGTAGTTGTAATATAGTGATGCGGTTTTAAGAAAGCATTTTATGGCGACATGTCTCCCATCAACTGAAACTATGCAAATTGGCAAATTCCAAAGATCAAGGTATCTTCGTGCAATGATTTTCCATTTGATTCGTTCGGTGGTGGCATGAACAGGGGTTGCAATATCGTCCATATTGCAGATGTAGTGTCTGCTATTATGGCAGATTTTGTTCTCTGTCCCCTCATAAACTGAAAACTTAATGCTGCGAAACTGCTGCCAGTAGCCAAATACCTGAAAACAAAAACATGTCAGAACCAAAGTTGCAATATTTAAATAGTTTGCTTTAAACCGTCTGAATTGTTTTACACTGGATGTCTGTCAGATCCGTTTACCTTTTTTCAGTCGCAGCCTGTAAAGAGAGGTGGAAACATTTAAGAACAGTTTTCGTCCGCCGTTTGCATAAGACACCTTCTGGGTCGTCTGGTACTAAAAAAACGTCCATATTATCTTTATGACGCGATGCAGTTGATGATTCCTTACATAACGAAAGATAGACACCAGGAAGGCAATTTGGCAGCTCCGCACACAGAAGAGGATACATCATTCTATGGAGAAAACGAAGAAGACACTCAGATGAACGAAGCGCCGAATGAAAACATGCCGGAAAATATCACACCATCGGAGAGCCCTACCGTGATACAAGCTTCTTGTCAGAGAAACCAAAACGATTCTAGGCAGCTGTTGTTTGGCAAACGACGTCAGCTAACCGCCTTGGATCCGGATGATAAAGAGTTTCATGAACTACATGAAGCAACAAACACAGTCAAAAACTCCATACCCAGATGCAGAATTGTTACACAGCCTACTCCCAGACATGAATGAATGACTGCTAACCAGAAACGTACGTTTAAAATTTGAGCTCTGAATTTAAATGATGAGCTGTTAGAAGGTGCAGACAGTGACCAGCAGTCTTCCACAGCGTTGAGCGAGACATTCAGTTTCTATCCTACTATATCTCTTCGAGAAGAACACAATAGCTCCCAGTCAGTGGTAACTTATTGGGAAAAGGAATGGAGGAAATCAGGAAACGTCGACCCTCATTTAAATGGAACAGATGACAAAAATTGACAGTAACAAATAATGTAAAGGAATATTTTCTGGCAGTGTTATTGTATTTCTTTAGATGTCTGCAGAATTTGTATATCGGTAAAAAGATAAAACTTTCCTTACCTCAGAGTAATCAGTAGTCTTTCTTCTGCTGGCACAGCTGTAAGAAAATTTGTATCTTGTCTTCGAATTTGAGGTCCTACAAGATCCACTAATAAAGAAACACTTTCATGCTCATTCTGTAAAATGATTTGAACAGGTCTGGATCCTGATTTAAGTTCTTTCGAAACAAAATAAGCACCTGCGTTTAAATTGTCGCGAAAGAATGGATACACCCAAAGTTTCCTCTACTCCTGTCTTCTCCTCTTACGCCTTCTCAACCACCACCTTATAATTGGAGGATCAGTATTATTATCTGACATTGCAGACGAGAAGTACACGAATTAGGCTTGTAGACACCCACTTTAGATGATGTAACTAATCGAATGCAAGTTTCCGCAGTGTGCGCCGACTAATCTGGAAACCAATTGCCTGCTTGAAATCGGCGATTCTTCTCGGAAATCGCGGTTGCGTTGAGCTGTCAAGTTTCCTTGGTGTGCTCCCGGCCTAAACGTAACACGGCATTTACTGGGGAAGCAAATAGCAGCAAATAGATTTGATGCGCAGCGTCTTCTGGGATGTGCTAATGTGGAGTCGGTATAAGTTAATGGAAATTTCGCAGCAACGTGCTGTCTCTGTCTTCACAGCAACAAAGGTAAGCTCCAGCGAACCCAGCGAGAAACCTGCAGTAGGAAACAAGGAGAGGGAACACCGTGGAGACTTGCAACCGCAACGCAACAGAAATTTCTGAGAAAAATCTCCGATTTCCATCAGGCAAATGGTTTACAAATTAGAAGGCGCACACTGAGGAAACTTGGTTTGAGTTATTACTCACATCACCGTAAGTGGGTAAGTTTGTCCGACGTAATGCATGATTGTATTTTATAATCTCGTGCACTTATCTTCTGCAGTGAAAGTTAATAACACTGATCCTGTCATAATATGGTAGTAGTAGAGACCGGCTGAGAAAGCTTTAAAAGAGAGGACGGCGACCATAAAGAAAATATTACTTACTCACTTAATCATGAGCTCATAAGGGTGGGCCCTTCTTGAGGAGCCAACAATTCTGCAGCTACTCAAGAATTTCCCAGTATTTTATCGAACCCGAAGGTACATTATCGTGTTTACAAGAGCCCTCCACTGGTCCAGATCCTGAGCCGATCAATCAAACCATACCATCCCATTCTATCTCTCTAAGAACAATTTTAATATTGTCCACCCACCTACGACTTGGTCTTCCCAGTGGTCTCTTTCCTTCTGGCTTGTCAATAAATATCCTATATTCATTCATCTTCTCCTCCATTCTTGCTACATGCCCTGGCCACCTCATCCTCCTTGACTTGATCGTTCTAATTTTACTTAGAGAAGAGTCAGGTTATGAAGCTCTTCATTATGCATTTGAGGAAAATATTGGGATGTTAATTTGTTTTAATTAAGATCAATTTATTTTAATCAGGAAATATCCCGTTCACACGCAATACAACATTTTGACAAACAGTGCAACAATTTTAGCAAAATAGAAGACCCCTGATGACTGCCGTATACACCCGAACCATGTAAAGTGGAAGGATGACTATGCAATACATTGAATTAAAGATGTAAATAATTTGTGAAATAATATATGAATGCAAGAGGATGTATAAATACAACTGACACTAGGAACCCACGCGGCAACGCAATTGTGAGAAGATTGGCAGTCTCCGTTGCTTGGAAGTTGAGTTTCATAGTCTTCCCGCGAGTTTCGTTGCCGTTTCATCAATTTCCGCTGTTCCATTCAGTAACATGTGTTCAACTCAGGCTGATAATAATTCTCGGAAATTGCGTTTGTCCTCTCCCGTACGTCACCTCGCAACGCTCACCTGAGTACGCGGCATTAAAGCAACCTATGAACTAACTAACGATATTTTAAGTGCTCTCAATGACAGATTAATTGTGGGAGGGATTTTCTGTGACCTAGCAAAAGCTTTCGATTGTGTTAATCATGATATCTTACTATCGAAATTAAATTTCTATGGAATAACTGGCAAAGCTAATGAATGGAGCAAATCATACCTCAAAAACAGGTATCAAAGAGTTGAAATAAATAATAAAAACTCCAGTCATAATGCATTTTCAAACTGGGGAATTATAAAGCACGGTGTTCCACAAGGATCAATTTTAGGTCCCTTACTTTTTCTTCTCTACATAAATGATCTATCTAAAACCATCAACAATAAATCTAAACCAATTCTATATGCAGATGACACTAGTATAATATTTAAGAACTCTAAATTTGAAAACTTTAAAAATGACATAAATATTGTATTTGAAGCCTTAAACAGATGGTTCGAAGCCAATTTACTCTCATTAAATTTTGATAAAACCCATTACATATCATTCACAACTAAAAACAACCACCAAATTGATCTGGACATCAGTTATGCCAACAAATTAATCTGTAAAGTACTTGATACAAAATTCCTTGGAATACATGTAGACAGTACACTGTCTTGGAAAATACATATTGAACAAATTATACCTAAATTAAATGCAGCTTGCTATGCGATGAGATCAATTAAGCCTTTTATGTCACAGGAAACATTGAAGATGGTTTACCATGCCTACTTTCATTCTATTATGAACTATGGATTAATATTTTGGGGGAACTCTTCACATAGTGTAATAATTTTTAAAATACAAAAGAATATAATTAGAATCATTACAGGATGTAGAAGTAGAGATTCATGTAGAGAATTATTTAAGAAATTAAAAATTCTACCTCTTCAATCGCAATACATATTATCGCTTCTCTTATTTGTTGTTTACAACAAAGATAAATTCAAATTAAATTCTGATGTCTATAACGTGAATACTAGACAAAAATATAACTTCCACCTACCCTCATCAACTTTATCAGTATATCAAAAAGGAGTCTACTTTACTGGCATAAAAGTGTTCAACAATCTGCCACAAAGTATTAAAAACTTGGGCAATGATACTAAAAAGTTTAAATCAGAGTTAAAGAATTATCTACATGCTCATTCCTTCTACTCTTTAGATGAATACTTCAATGTAAATAGAGAATGATGTAAAATTAAGTTATATTAATTTTTAAGCTAAAATTGCCTGTACTTATGTATGTAACCTTTTGACTTGTTCTGTATCCAAAAGTACTAACCTGCTTAGGATTTATAGAATGTAAATAAATTCAATTCAATTCAATTCAATTACTTCCCCGTAGATTACAATAGCGCCCATTACTAATGGAATGCACTCCACGTCCTTGCGCAGTTGTGGTCGTTGCGGTGGTTAAGTTGTGGCGAGGGCTACTTCGTAGGAGAAGAGTAAATTGGACTAAAGGAATGGGAGTGTGTTTTTGTTTGTTTTGTTGTATTTTGTGTTAGTTTTGTGTTAGTGAATTGGGATATATTCTCTAGGCATGTTCAGGACACTGGATAGTTACGTGTGTGATTATTGGTACGGGTCCAAGTTAAGCACAGAGCTGAGAGTGTAAGTCAAAAGGAAAAATTATTTTGCGTTGTTGATACACAAGCATGTAAACGTTTTGAGGGCTTTGAGGGAATTGCAGTGAATGATTCTGACACAACTACTGGCTTGAACTTGGTTGCAGATTCGTGTTCTAATGTGTGCTCGTTTACGTTAAGCTATCGAATGGTTTGAACAATTAAGCACCTTATTTGTGCAATAAATAACATGTCTGAATCGAAACCTGACTGTGATTCATTTAGTATAATAAATGATGCCCCCAGTGCCGATAAATCTGGGATTGTAGAGTGTTACGCAGGAGTGCGTGAGGTAAGATCTGTTCATAGATGTAAGACGTTTCTTGTATTCTGTGTGTTCTGTTATGATTTTGAAAGTGACTGCGGTATAGGTTTGGACCGGTGTTATAACTCACATCACACGATATCAGCAATACACTAATAGATATTACTAGACAATTGAAGTAAACGAACCTGTCATGGTTGACGAGGTCACGCCAATTGGTTGAATTCTAATATATGGAAGCACTCAGGATCTCTTGGTTGGTGGCTGTCCATGCTTCGTCATGTTAGGCTTTTCATTTTTCATAAAAAATTCAAACCGACAATTAGGATTTGAATTATGTTTATAAAGATGAAGGAATGCCAACAGGTATGGGGGAGCTGGTGCCTCCACAGTTTAGAATTTCAGCTTAATGTACCACTTTTTATGTCAAGTTACATGGGTATGGAAATGGCAGTCCATCGGTATACAGAGACATTTGTGATGTATGACTAATTACATTTCACTGAGCAAGTCCATTTCAACAAGTGGAAATGAGTCAGAGTTAAAGGGAGAAAGTTAAGTTACTCTTTGCCTTAGCACTTCAGATGAAGTAGGATGGTAAATTATGTTGTATTTTTTTTACCCCAACACTTGATTGACATAATTAGCAAAGTAAAAAGTGTTTAATCATGATTTGGACCGTTTATGTAAGAGTAAAGTTAAAACTTTGTAAAATATCTCGGTATATTTTAGTTATAAATGGAGTGTGTACCAACATGTTGCCAGCTAATTTATAATTTTTTAGATGACTTTTTAATGCTTCGTTAATAAGAGAGGCACAATTACTGGTAAACATTATTGATTTTTATATGTAGAGTTGATAAATTTTGTTAACAGGCTGTAAGTATTGGTGTAGCTTAATGTTGGTGATGATATTCTGTATTCCGTATTGAGGGGGTGCGTTTCCCCATGCACTTAGACCGATTACTGGTCCATTGTGCGTCCCCCTTTAATTTCTACTGTCTCCATACCCTACCGGTACTGGTGCTTACTATCAGCCCCTTTCTGCCAGCGAGGTTCCAACCTCTTACTGGCAGTGGTATCTAATAGTTAGTCCCTTTCTGTCAGCGAGGTCATCTCTCCTGTGGCAGGGGTTCCTAGTCCCTTTCTGCCAGCAAGGTTTCTACCCTCTTCTTGGCAGTGGTATCTAATACTTTAGTCCCTTTCTGTCAGAGAGGTCGTCCCTCCTCTGGCAGTGGTGCCTGATACTTCCCCCATCTACCGGAGGAATTGGAAACTACTTGGGTGGGAAGCTTGGCCTAATTTTGCTCAGAGGTCTCCTAGAGACATGAGGTTCTTTTACGTGCCGTAAATCTACGACACGGGACCCACGGCTTAAAGTCCCGGAGGACTTGTTCCCTGAATTTTTCCGCCCTTAAAAATTCGACGACCTCCGCCGGGTATTTGAACCCGCGTACTACGAGTCGTGAGGTGGGAACGTTACCTCTAGACTACGGAGGCCACTTATGTTGGTGATGGTTGTATAATGTAATCAGTAATTCTTCAACAGAGGGAAATGAATTACAACATACGACATGCAGGTACCATAACTGCACCTTGATAAAGGATAAAATGCATGACCCCTTTTTACTGTTTGTGTGTGTTATTACCATGTTTCATTACTTTTCACAAGAATAATCAGTGGCTGAGATGAATCTGGTTTGTGTTATAGTTTGGCAGGACTGAAATGAAATTGTTGAGCTAGCTGAGATTGATCTTAGGCTGTAGAGTTGCTACAGAAGAAGAAGAAGAAATATTAGTTGCTAAAACAGGAGAGGGCTCAAATAATAGCTCTGTGCCATGAGACCTCTCAATAAAAGCAAGCCAAACTAAGACGTGTTTTATTCTTAAAGGATGTAGTTGCTAAAGCAGGAGAGGAGTCAAATAATAGCTCTGCACCATCAGACCTCTCAATAAAAGCAAGTCGAACTAAGACATGTTTTATTCTTCCAGAATGTAGTTGCTAAAACAGGAGAGGGATCAACTAATAGCTCCGTGCCATCAGACCTCTCCACAACATCAAGATACAATGAAGCACAAGGCCATGGCTCTGTGGTAGCTACACACTATAATACTTTAGAAGAGAAAGGACTTGCTGAGCGCTGCAAGAGCCGTATTTTCTACCTCAGAAATTTCAACAACTGGATCAAAAGCATGATTATTAGTTAGTTTACACCATTATATATTTTAAATAATCTTATTATATTCAAAACACTTTGGGAAGGACATATTAGTACACTCCTTTTAAGTGTTTCCCTCAGTGTGTAGAGGATGGTAAATATTGGAATTTAACTTCACAGAGTCCAAGTTAACATCTGTTATTTATTGTCCATCAATATTGCAACACTCTTCCATTCACCACTCAATTTTTAGTTAACATTATACACCTTGACACTACATGTTTCGGTCCCAAACGGCCATCTTCAGGTGTCTTGATATGTTACAATTATTTTATTTTATTAAATTCTGTTAAAACTGCTACACTGTCTTAGTTTGTGTTAAAATCAGATGCTGTAGTCCTCTTTTTAAGGAAAACCAGATAGAATCCTTTAAAGTTTCTGTTATACCCATGTTATTTTGGTGCATAATATTTCACCTCGCACTGGGTGTCTTCCATTTTCGTAAATGTATGTCTGTCCAGGGTGTTTTGTCTCGGCAGCTTGCCCCTCATGTTCATAGCCTACTTTTCAGTTATGACTGCCATATGCCCCTGATTTGCGCATTTCCTTCACAGCATGTGGTGTTATCTTTACCAGTGCGGATGCAGTGTGTTTGTTCCTGTATTTATATGCCCTGGTTGTGAGGAGTGGGGAGAGATGGGGAAGGGTATAGTGTTATGTTGTGTAATTTTGTATAGTATTTCAAATATAAAGTTGTGTGTGTCGATGTTGGTGTCATTCATATGTAAATCTCTTTTACTAAATTTGTAAATATGGTATTTCTCAAGCATATTTAGATATTTTCATTTTGTTCCTTTTGCTCTGGTTTCCATGGTGTTTATTATTGTGCCATACCTGTGTGTTTCGTGTTCAATATATGACTTGAAGATCCTGAGTTACTATTGTTACTTTTTATGTCATGAATGTGTTCTTTATATCTGGTCTTGAATGTTCTTCCTGTTTGTCCGAAATATTTCAGTAGAAAATCTAAACATTTCATTTGATGAATTCCACTTCTTTTATACTTCCGTACTTCTGTACACGGAACACAATACAAAATATACTAAAGCCACAGCCACAAATAGATAAGTATAATAGAAGTGGAATTTATCAAATGAAATGTTTAGATTTTCTACTGAAATATTTCGGACAAACAGGAAGAACATTCAAGACCAGATATAAAGAACACATTCATGACATAAAAAGTAACAATAGTAACTCAGGATCTTCAAGCCATATATTGAACACCGGACACAGGTATGGCACAATAACAGACACCATGGAAACCATAACAATGGGAACAAAATGAAAATATCTAAATACGCTTGAGAAATACCATATTTACAAAACTAGTAAAGGAGATTTACATATGAATGACACCAACATCAACACACACAATTCTATATTTGAAATACTATACAAAATTACACAACATAACACTGCACCCTCCCCCATCTCTCCCCACTCCTCACAACCAGGGCATATAAATACAGGAACAAACACACCGCGTCCGCACTAGTAAAGACAACATCACGCGCTGTGGAGGAAGCATGCAAACCAGGGGCATATGAAAGTCATAACTGAAAAGTAGGCTACGAACGTGAGAGGCAAGCTGCCGAGACAAAACACCCTGGACAGACATACATTTATGAAAATGGACGACACCCCGTGTGAGGTGAAATAATATGATATAATGTGGTGCAATATTGATGGACGATAAATAATGGACTTTAAGTTGAACAATTGCAACGGGATGCTAAAATGCAGAATTCAAAAAGTCCATTGAAATTTCAACATGAAATTCTTAAAAACATTTTTCATCATGAAATGTTCTGTAGATAGCAACAGTTGTGTTAAGATACCAAATTTGAGAGAATAACAATATATACTGAATGCTTCTGCTTTTATTCCTTTTCCTTTCATTATTTTTTCTTCCCTTTTCATTTTTCTCTTTATTAATAATTTTAACTTTTTCCCCTTGTTAATACTTTATTATCGATCTTTATGCTTAGTGTCCCCATTTAGAGGAACATGTTATGTTGTTCATGGTATTTACTTCCATTTGGCATCTCTTGGTTCTTTCTTTCATTGATACTTTTTTTGTTAAGCTTATGTGTAGTTTGCCCTTGCAGTATGAGGAACATATCATACTTCATATCTTACTAAAAACAGTCACAACACAATAATCAGTAATATGTGTAAGTAGCTCTAGGAGATACTTTTGCTACATGTTTCAGCCTTCAAGAGGCTATCATCAGGCAAATACATTAAACTTTTTATTATTGAATTGCATGTCAAATATAAATTACAGTACTAAACTTCCAAATGTATACAGTGGTATAAAATGATATGAGTGGATATGAAATGTAAATTACAATAAAGGTTAAAGTCTTAAAATAACCATTTACATAGTCAAAAGTACAGTTAAAAGTTGTATATATTATGGTATTTGGAAGGTTGCATTTGTAATTGTAATATATGTAATGTTTATACGGACATATATACACAATGGCTGATGTGGTGTTCAGAAGCCCATTGTTATGTTGTATGTTATATATTATTTGATACTATTTGATGGGCACTCCATTGTGTAAATATCCGATCTGATGGAAAGATGGATTACAACTCATCCATCTCTCCATCAGATCGAACATTTACACAATGGAGTCACCCATCAAATAGTATCAAATATTATATAATAACATACAACATAACAACGGGCCTCTAATTTTACCAGATTTTCTGAGAAGTAGTGGGTCTGGAAAGGGGTTCACTAAGCCTCGTGAAGATAAATGATAGGCTACTTGAATGGAAAAGTAGCAGCTCCAGTCTAGAAAACTAAAAGTAATGGGTGTGGGAATTCATTGCGCTGACCACGCGACACCCTTTATTCACTAAAGTTGGCACTAACTTCGCTGACAAGTGGTCAGTCGGTCGGTATAGTTCACTTGCAGACTAAAGCCATGGAGTTTTTTTGTACCATTTTAATCTGAGGAATGTGGTATGTTTGACATCTCTAGGTTTTTCCTTATAACAGTACTTTTCTTTGTAGCTTCATTTATATTATGCCCATGTAACGTGAGGAATATACCGCATAGTTCATGGTAGTTGCTTACATTTAGCACTACTCTGCCCTTGGACTCACATTTTGTTGCTGTGGTTCTGATCATGATGGTCTAGAGGTAATGCTCTAGACCCATATTTGGGAGCTGCTCTGTTTGACTCTCAGCCTGAACACCAGCTGTCCTGACTGAGGTTCTTTTGTGTTTTTCCATAGTCTTTTGAGGAAAATGCCAGGATAATAACTTGAGACCATGACTGCTTCCTTCAAATTCTTTTCCAGTTCATTAGTCATACTACCATATGATGCTATACAGTAATCTGTACTGAAAGTGCTGCTGTTAAATAACCAGCATAAATGTCACTGTGATTGCTATGAAATATTTGAAGGTTACATACTTTTTTGGTCACAGTCCCATTACTTTTCTTGTGGAGGAAAGAATGGGAAAAGAAATTGGCCTGGACTGGAACCAATAAACAAATTTCTGAGGGTTGAGACTCCAAGAGGAACTTTTTGTTTTTATCTTATTTTTGACATTTCCCTGTTTGGGAGAAACATATTGAGACAAAAAGAGAGATGAATGGGTTTGGCTATTATATTTTTTTATTTTTATTGTTTGTATCCTGTTGTGTAAGTACAACCAATAATACAAATTCGGCTGTCAGAGCAATAATTTCTTATTAATTTCGGTTACACTATATGTTTTGACCTTTATAGGGTCATCTTCAGGTGTTTCCAGTTACACATTATTAATTATTAGATTGCAACGTGAGATCCCTTTATTCCTACCTTCATACACAGGCCATAAAGTGGCTACACTTGTGTTTATTTACATACTGTTTAGTGGATATTGACTCATGTGAGACTAAGCATTGAACTTGACAGTTTTTTCGATTAAGCTAAAATTAATTTTAGAATTGATTTTAAATTAAATAAGAAGGAATTAAAAAATTGGTAAGCTATGATCGGATTTGTATCTAGAGCTGAAGCGGACCTTACTTGGGCTTCTCAAATTCTTCTGTTATTTGTTGTGCCACCTCAATATGCTGTAATTACCAGGCTCAGTGTTCTTGAGGACTAATGATGTTATTTTTATACATTCTTCTGTAATGACTGGATCGATCTATAATAATTTATATGTTTTAGTAATAATGTATTATAACTTAAAATTGGTTTACCAAAGGCTACTTCAATTAGTACAACCGTCCATTAGTACTTACTGTTAATATTGTTTTCTTATATTTTTTGTTTCTCATGGTATACTTATTGCTGCGTGGTCTATACTTCTGCAGGTTGTTGTATTTCAAGGTTTCTAGCTCATTGTCTCAGGATATAGGGAAGGGGGTTGGGGGGAAGGGAGGGTATTAGGGGGGTGGAGTAGGGGGAAGTTGATGGACTAGTGTGGAGGTTCGTAGAGGGTTCTAGGATTGGTAGGTTGTGTGTATTTGAATTTGCCTTTATTAAGATGTCATATATTGGGTTATAGGTGTCTGTCAATGCTTCATTCATTTGTAATCCCTGCTTAGGCAGCATATGTACAAGGGTCGTACTGAAAGTCATTAGCAACAATTTTTTGTAAAGTAACATGCTTTATTATTGACAAACAAAATACACCACCTCAATCTACAGACCTTTCTTTATTTTTCCACATAATCGTCACTTCTTTGTACACATTTCTCCCAGTGTTATGGGAGTTTGAAAATTCCCCTTCTGTAAAATTCCGTTCCAGCCATCCAAAGACACTGACGCACTGCTTTCTGAATTGCCTCCCTTGTCTCAAAACGTCCACGCAGCTGATCCTTCACAAATCCGAAAAGATGGTAGTCGGAGGGTGCCAGATCAGGGCTATAGGAGGGGTGTGGAAGAACTTCCCACCCCATCTTTGCAATTGCAATTGTACCGAGTTTTCATCTGGTCACTGGCGAGTTTCAGGTGTTGTCAAGC